CGGCCACCCGAGTTCGATTCCTGCTCACCGCCATCAACACCAGTGACGATTATCTGAACCGGTCCTCCCCACGTCGACTGAGCCTCAAATGAGTACCTAGTGCGATGTGTAAACACCGCCACGAGGAAGACAAAGGCGGCCGGGCGTGGTGCTCACCACCCACGCATGCACGAGCCGTGCCAGCCTTCTTCGTAGGTGCTCGCTAACAGCACTTGTGAAACAACTACGTTGAACTTCTTTCGCACCCCGCGTAGCCAACCGTGCTTTTCGGAGGTGCCGTAAGTGCAACGAAGACGGAGGGAAATTGTCGGGCAGAGTGAGTGGCGATTGAGCCAAAGACCTGGAATTTGGCAGCAGACTAAAGGAGAAGAACGGAAAAACGAAGACCAATAGGACAAACTGAATAAAACAGATGGGCACAATGAGACATTTCTACCCGATGCGCTCACGACTCGTTGGGTAGAGTGCTCATTTAAGTTAGGTGATGGTGATGATGGTGGTGCTGTTCCTGTTGAGATTGTTTCATGTAAGTGGCGGGCGGGGTGGAGCAGTGGGGGGGGGGGGGGTTATGTCTGCATCCTTTGATGTTGGTGAATGTGAATTAGAGCTTATCGTATATCTCTCTCTGAAAACCGCGTGGATGATTTTAAGTGATGGAGATGCACTGTGACGATTGCGTCAATCTCTGCGCTTGGATTTCCTGCTGTTTGTGATGGTGGGGGATACAAAAAAACACAGCCGTTTGCGAACCACTACCCTGTGCCGTAATGCTGTCGGCAAACACGTGCGTGTGCTGTGGTCTGGTCGATGTCCCGTAACCACTCCGAGAGAGATCTGACACTCACAGTGAACCCCATCAAGGTATCGTTGTTACGCACGTTGTCATGATCATCGGTTTGTTGTTGTTGTCGCGTGGAGCGGTGGCGCTGCGAACCCGGCCACGAGAGTTCGATTCCAGATCCCCGGCTAAAATCGGTGGCGAGTGATAGCTGACTTGGATCGCCCTCCCCCCCCCTTCTTAAACAAACCCCGCACTGACCAGTGTGGTGAAGTATGGCCAAACGACCCCTATTACCGATACAGTGTGGTGGGGATCCATCTGGCAAGTTGATTCACAAATGGTCACGACGTTTGTTTGCCTCGAATGTAAACGCTTGAAATTATCTCGATTTGACTGCAGTAGCTTATGAGGTTAACCTCACCTGCGATTATATTTCAGGCAGTCGCAATATTTATAAATGCCACAGTGAATCAACAAGGGTTGCGGGGAAATGTCAGCGGCGTCCACCCGAGTTCGACACCGGGCCACGGCTAACGTCAGTGGCGGCGAGTGATATGTATGTTGAACTTCTTTCGCACCGTACGTAGCCAACCGCGCTAATCTCCATCAACGTGTCCTGAACCCCCCCCCCCCCGCCCTCCCCCCCCCCCCCCGTGTCCCGTCTTCACCAAGCCACACCGAGTATGGTGGTGAAGTATGGTGAAAAACACACACACAACCCAATGACCACCAAAGTGTGTGTGTGTGGAGAGCGGTAGAGTCGTGGTTATCCCACCGCACTCCGAATCCCCGGCTGACAACAATAATTCGATTCCCGCTCAAGCCCAACAACAAGTGACGAATGTCTGAACCGCTCCTGGGCATCCCCTAGGTCAACTCAGCCTTCAACGAGTACTTAGGATGCGGTGTGTAAACATCAGCACGTTGGAGACAAAAGTTTTAGTTTTAGTTCCATTTATTTGGTATATCCCTGTGAGCCATTCGGCTCTTGAATCGGGTGCAACCGCAACAAACAAAAAACAAAAACATGAACAAGAAACATCCTAAAGTGACTACGCGCAAACAGAAAAATCCAGGACAAAAACAGCAAAATCTTCCAGAAAAAGCACCGTACACCAACGCTGTGTGCAAAAATCCCAGTGGGATGGAAGTCAAACAACAACAATAACAACAACCACAAGACAACTTCGATTAAAGCCATCAGTTTAACTCCGTACTACGACAAACATGGCCAAACCAAAAAAACGTTTTCGAAATCACCAAAATAAAGCCATAAAAGCAATGTAACAGTGATCATAGGAACTGTTTACGAAATTTCACAATAACCGACATTAAACAACATGTACCACCAACACCATAGCTGGCTGCATGCAAGGCGGAGGCCCCTCGTGGTGCTGGCCACCCACCCCCTGTGCCGTTCCGGCCTTCACCGGTGCTCGCTAACAGCGCTTGCCCCAACAACAGCCTGTGCAAGGCTATACGGAGTGGGGCGAGGGCTTCTTGTTGCTATCTTCGTCTTCATCCAGCGGTGGATTGATTAAAGAAAGGGTCTGTAAATGATTGTATTATGCATGCCGCATATAAATCTTTACTGGCTTTCACCGCATCTTTTACGATCACCACGCGCGTCATAACCGCTCACATGCAGGATTGTATCACTGCTCGTAACGCGTATTTCACTCGAGCGCGATCTTTCCTATGCTAGCCTCCACCCCCGCCGTATAGTGGGGCTTAATTTCAACCGGAGCTGTCCAGGACTGAGCTCAGAAAATGTGCTTTCCTTGTGTTAATATTGTGTTGTTTTTCTACATATTACTCGCGCGCATGAAGAGTCGTGGGAAGTTCCGTGCCATCGTTGGACCTTCAAGTACCCCTTTCACCCCCCCCCCTCCGTCCCTATCACAATGACCAGAGTGGTGAAGTATGGTCAAAAAACCGCTGAGGGCGCGCGGAAAGACCACAGTGGTTGTAAGATCTGTTCATCCAGCGGCGATTTAACAAAGCGCTGTAAAATGTAAATTATTTTTATAATTAAATTTTGGCATTTTTGTAACGTACAATTTATTATTGTTGTGCATTCTTTCGTGATTTGAATTCGTGCTGTTTGTGTAATGTCAAAGTGAATGAGTTTTTTTACGAAATCACAATAAGCGTCGGAGTTTTTTTTATTTTTAGCATCCCGATTCCATCATCGATATCCCACTTGAAATTCTCAACATTATTCTCATGAAATCCAGTACGTGAGCAATGTCTTATTCCCGTATCCGTCTCTCCATATACATGTGAATTATTTGTATTTCCCACACACATATATATATCTTACACAACCCGTTTAACTCGCACCACCCTTCTTGGTCTGCATCATCTCAGCAGCATGAAGACGTCGGCTTTCGCGACCAATATCATCCATACTAGAGGGTTTTTTGGATTAGTTCGCGTAAGTATATACATTTGTCGTTAAACCCGCCACCACCTGACACAGCCAACTAATTGGCTCTCCAACACACCGGTGTGTTGTACTAGTGACGAATTGTGTTGCGATAGAAACGTCGTGGACTTTTTGCTATTATTATTTTAAATTTATCATTTTAAAATTTAAATTTTATTTTACTATTTTTATCGTGAGTTTTTGCTTTTATTATTTTCAATTTATTCTTTTAATTTTTTTATATTTTACTATTTTTCTTTTAAATGTATTATTTGTATTTTTTTTGTTTTCTATTTACGTGACTTTACCGAAAGAACCAAGAATACGAATTGGCATGTTCTCACTTCAGCAAAAAAAAATTGCTGTGGTTTTCCCACCTGATGATGATTGCTTGTGTTGCAATCGAAACGTCGTGATTTATTTAATTTTATACCTACGTAACTTTACCGAAAGAACCAAAGAGTATGGATTCCTGCAGTCACGAAAGCTTCAAATCTAGATTGGCACGTTCCGTTTAAGTGACAACCCTTACTAGTTGGCTGTGTCGGGTGGTGGCGAGTTTCACGACGCATTTATATATTTACACGATCTAACCCAAAAAAACCCCTCTTGTATGGATCAGCAGCATTGATTGAAAACGAGCAGATCTGTGGTGGACCGATTTCGCCACACGCCTTCTCATCAGCAGAGTCACGGTCGTTTGAATCCTCGCTGGTGAACCGTCACCAAGGACTCTCTAGAAATAACCATGAGCGTCGTTGTGGATTATGAGTAGCGAAATAGGCATGCAATGTCTCCTTCATATATATATATCCCTGGAGGCGATGGGTTGTGTATCTTGTGTTCTATGTTATATCATTCTAACGAATGGCCTGGAACTTGTTGTTGTGCCGTTGTGTTTATATTTACAAGAACACACGTAAAACAAAAACAAATAAACAAGCGTGTAATTGGTGAACACATGTAAAGCATACTGAGTCCCGTAGAATGCCCGAAGTATATTATTCGGGTGAACGAAGCCGTTCAAATAACCAAGCGGATGCGTTGGGCTTTGCTCCAGTGGATGGATGATGGATCGGTGGATGTTTAGTGGGTGGATGATGGATGGGTGGATGATGAAACCCATCAAATTCGACACAAGCCATCATTGCAGATGTTTACCATTGTCTCGTTGTCCTCTCTAAGACAACAACAACAACAACAAAGGTAACTCTGCCTTGCCCCCCCCGCACGCTTCTCTCTCCCCGTTACTTTCTCTCCTCCTCTCCGTTCCGTTTGTTCCTTAAAGTCTCTCCGTGCGTGCGCGAGCCACAGCGCCGACACAGCGCTGCACGGTCGTGTGTCAAGAGCGCGGGAGCGGGGTGGGGGTAGGGCGCTCAGTGGCTGTGGGTGGTTGGTGGGGCACGGTGGGGGAGCGGTGGTGCAACGGTTAGCGCGCTGCGCCACCAACCCGGACGACCCGGGGTCGATTCCCGCTCACAAAGCCACCAACGCCAGCGACCATTATCCGAACAGGTCCTGCGGCCTCCCCTAGGTAGACTCGGCCTTAAATGAGTTACCGAGTGGCGATGTGCAAACGTCGCCGCTCGGGAGAGACAAAGGCGGTCGGGCTTCGTTCCGGCCGTCCCACCCCCTCGTGCGACGTGCTGGCCTGAAGTGGTGCTCACTGACAGCACTTGCCCCAAAAGTGTGGTCAGGCTATACGGGGGATCTGTGTGTTTGTCTTGGGGCGTAGCGTGTGGGGTGTCGGAGGTGGGTGCGTGGGAGTTTCGTGTCCCTGCGACGTCACGCGCCGTCCCGGAGTGGCTGAAGCGCTATAAATACGACGGGGGGGCCAGGTGAGCTGCAAGAGAGACGGACAGAGCCACCACCGTCATCATCACCGCATCGAGGTGAGCTGCCGGCAACAACATCGACAACAACAACGACAAAAGAGGGGGGTCTCTTATTGCCGTGCGAGTTTTTTTTTTGGGCGGTGGGATATCTGTTTTCGTCGAGTTGTGGCGATGACAACGTTCGTTCGTTCGCTCGCTTTTTCGTTCGACGCAGCCACCGTTGCTTGCGTGCGTGCCGCGTTTCGTTTCTCTTTCCTTCTCTCCCCTCGAATGTATTTCGCGAGACAGCGATTGCAACGCGCAACCATGAAAGCGACGGCCGCGATCTGCTGCTCCCTCGCGCTGGTGCTGGTGGCGTCCGGCGGGAGACGGAGTGGACTGCACGCAGCCTCCATCGGGCGCTCCGCGATCCTGCGAGCCCCCGCGAGCTTCCGGCAACTCGAGGCTCATCCCGACCTGCAGGTGAGAGCGCGAGGCCGCGTGGGGAGCGGCGGTGCCGCGGTTAGCGCGCGACGCTGCGGTGCGAAGCTGGCGCAAACCCCGAGTTCGATTCCCGCTCACGGCCAAATGGCGGTGACGATTGTTTGAACGGGTCCCCGGCCCTCCCCTAGGTCGACTCAGCCTCAAACGAGTAGCTGGTGGCGATGTGTAAACATCGCCACGAGGGAGACAAAGGCGGCCGGGCGTGGTGTGCTAGTGCCGTGCCGGACTTTATAGATGCTCGCCAACAGCACTTGCCCCTACAGTCTGTTACGGGATCTTTGTATTTGGCGTATGTGTCTCTGTGTACGGGGAGGCTGTGGTTATCGCACTGCGCTAAGAACATAGTAGACTGAGTTATTTTCCCGCTTACGGCCATTGTGTGAGTGACGTCTGCACCGGTGCTGGGCATCGCCTAGGTGGACTCGGCCGTAAATGTAAAAAAACATCGAAACTGGGGGAGACAAAGGCGACCGCGCGCAGTGCTGGTCACACCAGCCCCTCTGGTGCGCCGTGTCGGTCTTTAAAGGCGCTCGCTAACAGCACTTGCCCCGGCTGGCAATGTAGGCTACATGGGGCATCTTTTCCATTGTTTTGTTGTGTGTGTGTATGTCTACACGTGTGTGCCATTGACAAACGAGGAACTCTGTGGGGGTTTGGTTCACGCACCAAACCCTAGTTCGACTCCGGGCCGCGGTGGTGTTGAATCTTTCGTAACACCCTCACAAACCTTTACGTCTTTGCTTTCTTGGAGTTGCGTCTCCTCTTCTTTAACGTTGTTATTGTTCCACGGCCGCTTTTGCATCTACTTTATTAGAGAGGAAGCTGCCGTGCGTTCAATGTTCATCGTTGCCTTTGAAAGCTCTCCAAATGTTTGATGGTGGCATTAATCCATTACATCTGTCCCGTTGGGTCACGATAACTCTCGTAAAGAAGATTTAATATAATTGCGCTTTTTTTTAAGTTTTGTTGCTATTACGGATTTAATCCGAAGAAAACTGACCAAAACGTATCTATACAAGGGTTGGCCAAATTTTTTTACGCACAAAGAAGTGTCAAAATCATTATTTGCAAATGTGCAAACTCGTTTAGCTTCCGTACTGCTAATCACTGTTTCCGATGATAAACGTGATGTGGATCGTTACAGAACCCATGCATACGCATGATTTCCGTTCGTCGTTTCAAACTAGAAGCAAATAGGTGCCAGCATTCCCCCACCCGTCTTGGCTTTTTTTGCAGAATTGTCGAGATGGATTCTAACGATATCCAACGATTTGAATGTTCAGCAGCTTAACCCTGAGAGGCGCCCAAAACACAGCCTGGTGTATGTTACAAACAGTATCGCGCATCAGCCATGATCAACCCACTGCTGGATCAAGGCCTCCCCAGAGTCCTTTCCATCGCTCACGGTTCTTTGGTGCAGCGATGCGAGCAGATGTCACGGCTCATGCTCGTTTCACGACTCGTCTCTGAAGCTGCGTGCAAGCGGTTCGCAAATAATGGGGACGTCATCTTTACATGCAAAGCATGCTGGGATTTTTGTTTGTGTGTGTGTTGCTTTTGAAGACGACTGTTGCAAGTATATATATGTTTACGAAGTTTACTCTTAAGTGTGTCAACTGTGCCCATTATCTCAGTAGCGCCTAGACCAAGTCACCCCTCAAATCTTGGCAGCTAAGCTGGGGTTTAGCCTGGTTAGCGTGTGGATGGGCGACCGCCAAAGTACAGGACAGGCTGTCGTCATCAGTGGCGAGTGATATCGGAAGGCAATAACTAGCGTGGTGAATCATATTCTTAGCTCTTTCGGTAAAGTCTCGTTGAAGGGAAACAATAAAATAATAAAAATATATAAAACAATAAAAATTCTCACGACGTTTCGACCATAACACAAACGGTTTGTGTTATGGTCGAAACGTCGTGAGAATTTTCATTGTTTTATATATTTTTATTATTTTATTGTTTCCCTTCAACGTGACTTTACCGAAAGAGCTAAGAATATGAGTCACGAAAGCTTTAAATCAAAATTTAGCGTGGTGAAGTATGATTGAACAAACCTGTAAATTGATCAAGGGCTGTACATTGTTGTTCATATGGGAGTTTCAAAAGGCAAATGCTGAATCTTAACCAAACGAAATTGCGCATTATAATTATCAGCACTGGGGAGACAAAGGTGGTCCGGTGTTGGAGCTCGCAAACAGCACTTGGTCCGATTGTCTGTTAAAATCCTTGACTTTGTCATTCGCGTACACAAAGACAAAGATCCCCCGTGTAGCCTTCAACAGACTGTAGGGGCAAGTGCTGTTGGCAAACACCTATGAAGGCCGGAACGGCACACCAAGGGGTGGCCAGCACTACGCCCGGCCGCCTTTGTCTCCCTAGTAGTGATGTTACACACCGCATCCAAGTCCTTAAGGCTGAGTAGACCTAGCGGAGGCCCACGACCGGCTCAGACATTTGCCAACGTTAATGGTCGTGAACTCGGGTCGCCGGGTTCGTAGCGGCCGGGGCTAACCACGGCGCCACCGCTCCCCCGACCCAGGCCCACAGTTAGAACACACGGACACACACTCAGAGCGCGCTGGACGTGTCCATGTGGAACATAAACACGGCAGGTAGCCACACACACATAATGCGAAAGGAATTTCCTATTCGCACGATCCACTGCTGGATGGATGAGAGCCTACAAACCACCCTCCCCCCCCCCCTAGTGTGGAAGGATAACTTGCAAACTCAGTCAGCAGGCTGATCAGCGCGGTGTTGATCAAGTCGGGAAGCATAGACGAAGCATACAGACTACCTTTGTAACGACAGTGTTCTCAGATGCGTCGTTCCCACGTGCGTGTGTGTGTGTGTGGACTGTGCACGTGTGTGTGGATTATGTGTGTGTGTGGATTGCGCACGCGTGTCATGGATTATGCACGTGTGTGTGTGTGTGGATTGTGCACACACATGCATTGTGCACGTGTGTGTGGATTGTGCACACACATGCATTGTGCACGTGTGTGTGTGTGTGGATTGTGCACACACATGCATTGTGCACGTGTTTCTGTGTGTGAATTGTGCACGTGTTTCTGTGTGTGGATTGTGCACGTGTTTCTGTGTGTGGATTGTGCACGTGTTTCTGTGTGTGGATTGTGCACGTGTGTGTGTGTGTGGATTGAGCACGTGTGTGTGTGTGGATTGTGCACACACATGCATTGTGCACGTGTGTGTGTGTGGATTGTGCACACATATGCATTGTGCACGTGTTTCTGTGTGTGGATTGTGCACGTGTGTGTGTGTGGATTGAGCACGTGTGTGTGTGTTTGGATTGTGCACGTGTGTGTGTGTGTGGATTGTCCACGTGTGTGTGTGTGGATTGTGAAACGTGTGTGTTGATTGGGGGTGACGGCTGTCTCCCGGAGTGGTGTGGGTGCACAGGTGGCGCGAGTTGGCGGAGTGGGTAGCGGCGCAGATATAAAAAAAATGCGCAGGGTGAGACGCTGAGCGCGCTTGCTGGTGGGGAGGAGGGGGAGTCTGGGTCCGTGACTGTGTCGCTAAAGCCGAGTCAATTTTTTTTCTAAATATATTATTATATTGCAATAATAAATAAATTAACAGGCCCCTCGATATGCACGTTACACGAGCATGAGTGCGATACAACAACGGAGTGGTCCCCGTAAGCACCGTGGCAGACCCGGCTGGTCACGGTGGTCACCCACGCAAGCGGCTTTCCAGCCTCAAGCCCGCTCCGCTTCCGAGGCCTGACGATGTCTCGGCTGCATTCTGAAGCTCCGCACGAGACCTTGGGGGTGACTTTCCATTGAGCAACGCTGTGTGTCTGTCACGCTCCAAATTCCAAACCGGGTTTAGCGCGGGGAGGCATTCGTCCAGCAGTGGATTTTTTCATGGGGATTGTACATTGTGATGTATATTTCAGAGAACTGGGTTAACGGGAAACATGCGTGATGGTAGCGACTATTACTTTTGAGACTTCAATGCGTGTATGTATGTACAACGTCTTTCGTAGCCAACCGTGACAATCGTTATCACATGTCACTTCTACAACAGATTACGTCACATGGCCCTGCCAGCACATAAAACAAAAATATTGTTGAAGGAAGCCGAATGTACGTTGAACTTCTTTCGCACCGTACGTAGCCAACCGTGCTGATCGGTGGTGCGGGGGAAGGACAACAAACTTAATAAAACGCAGTGCTAAATAAATGAGTATCCAATCGAGATTATTTAAAAGTGCATCATAGCTCCCAGTGACTTCCGAATATCGGTAAGGAAGAGCGTTCCAGACGGCCACAGAAGCGCATCTGGAAAGCGCGCGATGCAGTTGCCGTCCTTTGTTCGATGGCATGGCCATAGACTGACTTGGGGGTGTAATGTCATGATGGTGCAGAGCGTTGAGACGTAAAAGCATTAACAGCAATGATGGTGGTGCTACTCCTGCTGATGACAGCCTTCAAACTTGGGTGCATCAACACCTGATGACGACGCTAATCTCGTTGACATCTGAATGCATGGACACGACCAGACGCTGATGATGAATATGACCGGATTTGATGATGGTTATAATACTAATAATGACGTGCACTTTTAGACCTGATACCACTATGCATGTATGCACGCTGAACTTTTTTCGCACCGTACGTAGCCTACCGTGCTAAGCGGAGTTGCTGATGACAATGTTGAAATATCGACTGTCCTAACACCCTCCCCCCCCCCCTTCCTCCTCCTTCCCACCACCACCCAACCTCTGTGCGCCACAGATGGGCGACCAGGATGACAGTCAAATTCTGCTCAACATGATCGTAGAGGCCATGCGCATGAGAGACGCGGGCCCCGAGACCGATGGCCCCGGCGAGGGGGAGGCCACGCGCGTGGTCGACGGGCTCCCAGAGTTCCCCCGGGAGGAGGCTCGGGCCCTGGTGCCCAATGAGCGTCCCTTCGTGCCAGGAGCTCTGTCTCCTCGGGACCGCAAGGCGAACTGTCGCATGTTCTACTGGAAGACCATGGCCGCGTGTTGAACAGCACAAGGCAGTGGAATGGCGATGGGAGGGTAGTCCTGGGTGATGATGAACGCGGCGGCGGTGGTGGTGGGTGATGTTGGTGATCAGGGGGATTAATTTCTCACGTTATTTTTTTTCCGGGTCCCTGGCGGACTGATGTGTATGAGTAATTTCACTCGGCGCTGTTTGGGGATGAGCTCCAGAAAATATTTCTGCCTCCCCCCCCCGTCCCATCGCCGTAGAGGAGGGGGTTGGAAGGCCCAGGGAGATCTTCCATGAGAATGAAGCCCTGGCGACACGTGACTAGTAGTCGGCCACAGCAATAGCGAGATGTCAACTGGATGTGGTGTGCCGGGTGCAAAAACATTTTTCTCGGGTTGCCGACCGATCCGGACATATCCAAGAGAAATTAAGCCCTGAATTGACGATGATGATGGAGGTGATGGTAATGATGATGATGGTGGTGGTGGTGATGATCAGGGCTTAATTTTTTTTATGGAATATTTTGGGTGCCTTTAACCGACAGGAGTGGGGGGGGGTGAAGCAGGGAAAAATTTTCCGGAGATCGGCCCTGGACAGCTCCGGTTGAAATGAAGAGCTAGTGATGGTGGTGGTGGGTGGTGGTGGGTGGTGGTGGGTGGTGCGTACGCGTGTGTACGTGTAGAGGAAGCCTCAGGCTCAAACATTTGTTCACCTGCGACTAAATTAAAAACTTAACAAAAATATATACTTTAAAGAAGAATCAATCGACTAAATTATTAATGCAACTCAACACTCGACCTATATTGTACATAATTTAAGGTATACGAGATATACGTATGTGTATTATATACTGTACGTATATGCGGCTTTGTATCAGTGGAGTGTATCCGTGTGCGTGTGCCTTGTGGTGTATTTGCGTGTATGTGTGTGCTGCTGCTGCTGTCTTTGTTTAAATAAAAAAAATCAATACGACAACTTGTTGAATGATTAATAAAGCATCACTGAAAATGCAACATAAGACTGCACTCTTAAACATAACATGAAAAAAGCATTGCATTAAAAATCGTGTGCCACCTATTTCTTGCCTATATCATAGAAAATCAACTACACGTAGACCTTTTTGCAGACCCAATCTTATCAAATCTCAGAAGCCAAGAATAATGATTCACAACTTTATCACGTAGGCCAGATGATGCTGGTTGTTGGTATCACCAGCGAAACGTCGGACTCAATTGTACACGTCGGTTTGCTATCTAACACACACATCGGTATGCTGAATTAGTAACTCATTGACACATTTTACTTTTTACGTGACAAACCTTACTAATCGGCTGTTTCGGGTGGAGAGGGGTGTACGACACATTTACGCGATAAAACCCCGTTCCCAAAAAAAAACCTTAGCGCTCGCTCTTCTAGAGAAATAGAGAATGACTCTGACACACGAGGAATAACACGGTTAGCCGGCTCCAACAACGAGTGCCCACGCTCTGCGGTCCCCGATATATGACGGTGCAAATCTTCCAATCGTGGAAGGAAACTCGGAGCAACCGAAAAACCAAAAAAATCCCAGAACGCGCTGGATTGAACGGGTGGAATCCACGTATACTTGCTGTACTGCCCTCTCCTGGCAGAGCCCGGGTATTGCAACTTCTACACCCAAGGGGAAGGGAGTTTCACAACATCGTTTGTGATCCACAGGGCCTTCTGGGAGTTTCCGTTTTTTTATCAGAAGATTTTGTCATAAACCTAAAGGCTTATTTGTGAACCAAGATCCTGAGCTTGGGGCCGGGCAATGTGAAGGTAAGATCAGACCACGAGTCCACGAGCCCAGACTAGATATCTCACTTGAGGTGGCATCACTTTAGCGGTTCCAATTTCTTTGCGTGGCTAATAGCAGTAAATGGTGTAATAACGTTTTAAATCAATGGGTTCTATATGATTCACTGTTATTGGCCGTATAATTAAATGAATGCTTTAGGTGGTGCCGGATTTCTGCAATATATAATAAAAATAATCCGTTTGCAAAGTCCCAAAAGAGGCCAAATAAATGTAAAATGCATGTGTAAATTCATAATATTTATGGCACCAATTATTTTCCCAGCAGAGCCTCGCAGAGGCGTATGGCTCCCTCTGAGCAGGGTCCTGAAAATTGGGATGTTTGCCCAATGTTATTTTATCATTCTTTGGTTTGCGGGAAGGAAATCGGAGTGCCTGGAGCAATAAAGCACCACTCCAACTACGCATATAATGAGGGGATAAACACCCAACAACACTGCCATCTCCTAGTCAAATTCTCGTAGCCTCACGTCGACGACAACACCTAACAAGCCTTGTGTGGTCTCCCATCCAAATATTAACCAGGCTCCCACCATGCTTAACTTCATAACGCGGTCGAGTCTATTCAGGGTGAGATGTGGTGGTCTCACCGGCACTTCCCATGCTCGATTCCCGGTCAGGGAACACTCTGTTCGGGGCGCCACGGTGGCGAGATGTTAACTACCTCGCCTGGTGTATAGGAGGTCGTGGGTTCGACCCCGATGCCTGCTGTATATTTGTAGTTTGCATGTTCTCTCCGTGGTCGTGTGGACTTTTCTCCGGATCCTCCGGTTTTTCCCTCCACATTTGGAACCAACATCACACGTTTAGAGTATCTGGCTTCTGTACATTGTACATTCCTACATGATAAGCCACTTCGGTGAGCCCTCATTTGTGGCCAGGTCGCTACTGAAAAACAGCTACATAGCTGAGTGGGCCTTACCTGGTAAAATAAAACATAGGTTAGTTGTAGTTTAGTGTGTGTGGCGCATAAGTTTAAATCCACTGCCGTATGAAGGACTCCTCTCGCCGTATCGGCCATGGGGTTGCTTTGACCATGCTTCGCCGCGCTGGTGAGTGCGAGTTGAATGCGTGGAGCATAGAGGTAGTAGAGTTGTGCACGTGGTGTTGTTGCACTGCCATCCTGATGCCCACAATGCACCGTGTTAAGCCTATAATACAAGACGTCTGTTGTAATTACCATACTTATACAAAAAAAACATAATACAGGCAACCGTTTACTACGGATTATAATCGAAATTTCAACCCCCACCCCACCCCACAACCGTATTGAGGGTACGTCTTATAATCATGTTGGGGTGTGTGTGTGACCAGATTTGTAATAACTATTTCTCGCTACCGTACGGTGCGAAAGAAGTTAAACGTACATGCATCACTTTATTGTCACCGGACAGATGTTGTGAGTGCGAGAATACGGTAATAAATCACCAACACCGCCACGATGATTTACGTACGTACGTGGACCTTATTTCACACCGTACGTAGCCAACCGTGCTAATCGGAGGTGCGGGGGAAGGACAACAAACTAAACACACAAAAACGCAGTTCTAAAGAAACAAATTTTCAATCTCGGTGAATTAAAAGTGCACAACTCCAGTGGCTTCCAATGTTGGAAAGAAAGAGCGTTCCAGACGGCCGCAGGAAAGTGGAGAATGACGACATCGTGCGATGAGCTTATTGGAGACGCTCATTAAGAAGGGGGCCGCAAATGATCAGTCAACCCTCGCCCGGCCGTGTGGCGGGTATCGTCTCGTCCCCTCCAGCACCGCTTGCACCTCGAGCTGTTAATCATCGATTAGGCTACAGCGTTCACGTCTCATTGGTCACGTCCCCCCCCCGTGCCTGTCTCTTGGCCCCCCGAATCCACAACCCGCTCACCCCCCCCCCCCCCAACCACCAGGTCCACCACCACCACCTCCCCACCCCCCCTTTGCTCATCAACACAAGTGCGCCCACGTGCCTGTCGGCATGTGCATTCGCAAGGGCACGTGCAATTATGGCAATTATAACGCGTGCACGGGATTGCAGCTCGGCGAAGACACATGCGAAGCAATTAGCCCATTGTATAAGCAATTGTTCGTGTGTAAGACATTTAATAATATATACACACACACGCAGGGTAGTCCACTTATGCGTAACCCCGTTGAAATGGCAAAGGCAAAGGCGCAGCCGACTGCAGAAAATCTCGCACAGGGCCTCCACTAGAGAGCCTCTCTGGAGGGGTTTTTTGTTTAACGTGACTCTGTCTTGCGACGAAGGCAAAAGAGAGGTGAGACGACCCACACTTTACCCCACCACACGACGCGATCCACGCCCTCGACCGAGTGCACGCCTACATTTAGACTGAAAACTTTCATGACTGCAGGAATTAATATTCTTGGTTCTTTCGGTAGAGTCACGTAGATGGGGGGGGGGGGGGGGGGGGGGGGGGGGGGGGGGGAAATAATAAGTGGTCCTCATCAGGCGGATGAAGATCGCTTCTGTTGCGATCGAAACGTCGTGGGTTTTTGCTTTTATTATTCTCAATCTGTTATTTTTTTTAATTGTATTATTATTTTTTTATTTTCTATCGACGTGACTTTACCGAAAGAACCCGGAATACGAGTGCACGCCTATTCAAGCTGCTGGGCGAACATTGGCGCAACGCGGGCTTGTAAGGATCTCCAATACGTCCGTACGTGACACAATATCAACAAGAACCGCAGTTCAGCACTGAGCGGCGGCGACGTCACCCAGGGCGCTTGTGCCAGGCTAGGTGCACGTTGAGGCCACGTGGGAGTACTCAAGAACCTGCTGGCTGGAAGGTCACGCAACGGATCCGGGTGCCATGGGTCGACTGACTAAGATGAATACATAATACGTACGTACATACAGGGGGATCCATCTCTCTGTATGCAATATCTATCCTATATCTTTATATCATATGTTAATGTGATTTTGTAAGTCGCCCTGCCACGTTATAGAAATAGATACCCTGGCAAGTGGCATATCGTTGGAAAGGAGGTGCCTACTATCAAATCCGATTCAATAAATCTTGCACCCTGGATGAGTGATAAGCTATCGTTTGTATTTACCACAATGCAATCCGCGGGTCCTTCAATGTGTGTGTGTATGCCATTTGCCGGTGGGTGTGTACCAGTGTGGTGTGTGTGTACCAGGGTGGTGGATGTGTGTGTGTGTATATGTACCAGGGTGGTGGGTGTGTGTGTGTGTACCAGCGTGGTGGGTAGGTGTGTGTGTACCAGCGTGGTGGGCAGGTGTGTGTACCAGCGTGGTGAGTGTGTGTGTGTACCAGCGTGGTGGGTGTGTGTGTGTGTACCAGCGTGGTGAGTGTGTACCAGCGTGGTGAGTGTGTGTGTGTGTACCAGCGTGGTGAGTGTGTGTGTGTACCAGCGTGGTGAGTGTGTGTGTACCAGCGTGGTGAGTGTGTGTGTGTATACCAGCGTGGTGAGTGTGTGTGTGTACCAGCATGGTGAGTGTGTGTGTGTACCAGCGTGGTGAGTGTGTGTGTGTGTACCAGCGTGGTGAGTGTGTGTGTGTGTGTACCAGCGTGGTGAGTGTGTGTGTGTGTGTACCAGCGTGGTGAGTGTGTGTGTGTGTACCAGCGTGGTGAGTGTGTGTGTGTGTACCAGCGTGGTGAGTGTGTGTGTGTACCAGCGTGGTGAGTGTGTGTGTGTGTACCAGCGTGGTGAGTGTGTGTGTGTGTGTACCAGCGTGGTGAGTGTGTGTGTGTGTGTACCAGCGTGGTGAGTGTGTGTGTGTGTGTACCAGCGTGGTGAGTGTGTGTGTGTACCAGCGTGGTGAGTGTGTGTGTGTGTACCAGCGTGGTGAGTGTGTGTGTGTGTACCAGCGTGGTGAGTGTGTGTGTGTACCAGCGTGGTGAGTGTGTGTGTGTACCAGCGTGGTGAGTGTGTGTGTGTACCAGCGTGGTGAGTGTGTGTGTGTGTGTACCAGCGTGGTGAGTGTGTGTGTGTGTACCAGCGTGGTGAGTGTGTGTGTACCAGCGTGGTGAGTGTGTGTGTGTGTGTACCAGCGTGGTGAGTGTGTGTGTGTACCAGCGTGGTGAGTGTGTGTGTGTGTGTACCAGCGTGGTGAGTGTGTGTGTGTGTACCAGCGTGGTGAGTGTGTGTGTGTGTGTA